CTTTTATTCTGCTTTGACCTCCTACTTTTTCTTTAAGTTTAAATTATGTTCTACTTCTAAAATAAAATAAAAAAATCCTAAAATTATCTTTTTCCCTGCTAAATACTTTGATTCATGACAAGTGGATGTTATKATAAAGTGGAATCCAAGGTCATTCTGATGATCTGCTTTGATAAAGAAAGAAGAAGAAGGTGAGCGTGGGAGACAGACAGACCACCGCAGACAGAAAAAAGAGAGCGGGACGGCTCGATGGACACGGTGAGAATGCTAACTGATGTGTCCGCTCTCTTCTGACACAGCTCTGTGACATTCCAGCGCAGGACTCCTTCATGTCCGGAGAGGAAAAAAAGAGAGGGAACGAGGAAGATCCACAAACAATGCCCATTGAGTACTGTGAGGCAACAGCTGGTGGGATATGCACTGACCTTAAGGAGGTCTATTCAGGCCTGGACTGGCGCCTCTCATGGCCCCGCTGCCTTTATATGGCTGGAAGTGGATGGATGGTCAATGTTTATTCTCATCATGCAAACAGAAGAGCAACAGTGCCCGGCGGCTTCGGCCCAATCGGAAATATTGAGGGTAGTCAAATTAAAGTTTCGAAGGGGAGCGTTTCATCTCATGACAGCRGGATGGAGATAAAACTGAACGCCTGTCAAAGCCTTTGTTTCACAGGAGCACTGAGGTGAGGCTCRGCCCCATGGAGAGGGAGATTAGCTTCTCAAGGAGAAGCATAAATCATATCCAACCTGAATGCAAGATAATAAAAAATGTGATCAACCAGGCAGAGAAATATTATATTAGATGGAGATTAAAGATGCTCAACATTTGAAGTTAGATATGAGCAATGGGCTGCTGGAAGCATTTGTGTTCACTTGTGCTTCTAACCCTTCTTTGTCAATTCCACAGGCATTTCCCAGCGGGCCTCATGCCTGTCTTTGAGATCAAACCTTGCTGGCAAAGCCACCATAAAGCGATATGTCAGTCGGGAGTGGGAAAGAGATGCCTGCTTGACTGTGATTGATCTGCCACGGTTTCTTTATTCCCCTTGAGGCTGGATACATCCAGGCTGCGGATCCAGCCTGATGAATAGCACCACGCACCCTGCCCGCCTCACGTCCCCTCTTCTCCACCCGGCGTGGCCCATCCCGCAGCCCATCACGGAAGGCCACAYGCTGCAATATAAAATTAAAAACACCAGATTCCAGTTCCAGGAAGCGCAGGCAGAGCCTTGCCAACCAATCACATCGAAGGACATCCAACTCATTAAAAGTTAATGAAACCTATAAACGTGGTGCGCCAGCGATTCATTTAAACCCCCAATCCAATCTCCTCTCTCTGCAAAGGCAAACAAGCCTGTGTGCCCCCAGTGCTGTCCTCGGAATAACAAACTACGGAATATTTTGTCCTGCATATGTTCTCCCCTATGCAGACATGTGCTGCRGTGATAGGGTATCTTACAATGGGACTTGTCCAATTTAGAAAAAAATAAAGCAAGGGTGGTGTACTGCAGGGGTAAAATCTGTAATYTGCTCTTCAGTTGAATTTAATGCATTTGCCTTACACTGCACTGCTTGTCAGGAATGGCTGCAATAGATATGCCATTTCAACATTCATGAGAATCACTGACATTCAAATAATGTGCTCRTTTTAATACCGTACATGAGTGAAAGGCAAAAGCTGCTTATGCAACCTCCAGTTCGAAGCAAGTGCAGGCAGACGAGGCCGAGTGCGAGCAAAAACCCGTTCTTCCCGCAGCCTCACCTTACGTGTCAAACATATTCATTTAAYTCTGCTCCTAATTTCATAACATGTCATAAGCAGCAATAAAACCCCACTTTACTGCCGTTAAAAATCAAACAAGTTCAACAACAACCTCTTTTGTGTGTTGCACTCAGCTCCGGTGTCTCATAGAGCTTCCCTTGAGGGATTCAAATTAAATTCTCTCCTTGTAAAGAGCCACAGTCAGCTYGCTAATGAATTCCCATACCCTGACTCAAATCAAATTAATCCCCAGTTTAATTCCATATAAACGGCGGTGTTATTTATAGTGGGAAGACGGATGCTCGGTTGAAGGATTGAGGAAAGCTGGGAGGTGTCTATAGGGCCGCTGAGCAGATTATGGTGAAGGATGAATCCTGTATGTTTTCCCCGACAGCAGAGTGGTCCCCTGGTACACACTATTTAACCCTCGCCTGCTTGACGCTGACAGAAACATCACAGTGTTTGTCACCTAATATCCTTTCAGATTAAGGAGTCAACTGGCAGATTTATTGGTCGGAGCTGAGACGCTCTTATCTTGAAGGGCCCAATAGAAAGATAATGCGTGAAGGCGCGACGTCATAACGCACGGCTACAGTTAGGTCATGGGTTTTTGTAGAGAGACAAAATTTGCATGAACCCCTTAGGCAAATCTCTTTCGTGGAGAGAAACAGCTCGATGTGACTATTTTGATCACAGTAATTTGATTTTCTGAAGTCAGCAGTGACAGGTAGTTTGTTGAATGGCTTTTTCATACAAATGRCACAACAAACTGACAAATTGTGGTATCATGACAAACTGCTAATGCTTTGTGGCTGCAAATGTAACAGCCTACATAACACTACTCTTCTGAGGAAAAAGTGGTGATGTTAAGTTCATCCACCCCCCATGAATATGCCAAGTGATAAAACAGGCTTCTTTATAAAAAGTAAAAAAAAAGTTTTGAACAGTGTGTTTACTAAGAAATTATCAAACAGACTTAAAAGTGTGCAAAAAGCCAGAAAATGTTAAATGAATTTTTTTGTATAATGAACAATTAACATATTGGGTTTTTCACTAAAGAGAAATTAAGACCCATATTTGTATTTAAGCACTTMGTCCCCTGTGCCCCTTTCTTCAGAATCTGTCTGTATTTGTTGTTTAGCAAAGACGGCAAAAAACAGCATTTGTTGTTCTTAAGCTAAAATGTGAATAACAGGGCATCAACCTGTTGCTGAAGCTTCTGCTTTATTTTTATCAAACAGTTACATTTTACTCTTAAAACATCGTTGCAGTGTTGTGATCAGATTCTTTTTTTTTATTTCAAAATAATCTTTGTTAAATGAATTAAAGAGTTCAATTAATACTGACTGATTCGGAAGACTTTTTATAGGTAAAATTTAAGTAAAAATAACATTTTTCTAGGTTAAATTTCTCATTTAAAACCATGACGTGGTCGCCACATGTAGCTGAATGTTTTAGGAGTTTTTTTCCGATCCAAGTTTATGATGTGTACAGTTGACAAAGAATCATTAGCATGGGATGCGTTTAAGGATGACAGACGGTTGTGAAAGTCGGTTTGGCAGTTTCGGGGACAGTTTGGAGCCTTTAAAGCTCGGTCCACCAAATGTCTGAACATCTATGGTTTATTGAGGCATCTGTAAGCTTACGCACTTTACTGCCAAGCTTGGCCCGTGCACCTATATGGTCCTGAAATGGATGGAAGCACACCCACGCAAAAGTTTACTCTTTGCCTTCATACCAAATCCTTGACAGCCATRCATCCCCACCCAATCACCATTCTAACACATGTGCTGTCACAAATAAACACATTTAGTTTTTCTGGAATATACACTACCAAATGTTTGGCAACTTGAAAAATAAATAAAAAAAGAGGCATGGTGGGGGGTGCTGAATAATTTACTAGGAAACATTTTACTAACCATTTGGTGATAAAAAAAAAACACCGGCGTCGGCCCCGAGGCTTAAAGCAATTAATTCAGGATCCTGACATAAACTCTCCAATCCTTTGACAGCTTGGAGCTGAAATAAAAATGCTAGTTCTCCTGGGAACGGCAGGAGATAGCTGGCTCTTTTCTGGACTGTTTGCTCACTGGCCCTGTGAGCAATCTTCCCCAGTCAGAATGAAATGCAAGGACACAAACAATGTACCGGCGAGAGAATGGGAGATGGGGAATGAACAGTTTGGACTATTTGCACAGCAGAAGGGCAGCCACAATGGCCGGCCCATGGCTTTCCCATGCATCAAGCCTCTTAGTCGTAGGCCTCCCTTTGTTGCCTGGTTTCTTCTTCCCCGGCCAGATAAGAGCCCAGCTGCCCCATACTTTTAATTCCTATTGTACGCCATACTGTATGGTCATTTATCTGTCTACGTTCTGCCTGTCGCGGTGTTGTTGTCTAATTGAACAGGTTATCACATGTGTATCTCTGTTGCCCGCATGTGCGCTTGTTTAGGGTCTGAATTGGTCCCACTTTGCCATAAAAGGCAGGCTGGGGAGGGGAAGGGGGGATAAGGCCTGACCCTTTTCTTCGCCTTTGAGAGGGAAGCACAAGTCAAGTGATAAAGATGCAGAAATTTTCATTTTAAAGTAGYTTAGCTGCTTTAAGTAAAATAAAATAAATCTAAGACAAGAAAGTTGCTTGTGAAATCTCTAATAAAAAGAAAGGACCTGATGAAGTCAATGAAAGTCAGAGATCCATGTTGTGCTTTTTTCTTTTGTTAAACTGGTTTGTTTTTGCACACGCTGAATCACACTCAGTTCGTGTCTCTGCTCAGGAAGTAGTTACACTTCCAAGGCCAAGCCTGCAGAGAATAAAACAACAGTAAAAGCAGCACAAAAAAAAAAAAAAGAATAATAAGGGAAGCAGTAGGGTCTCAGGCAGGATCAATACACGTAAGACGAAGAGGCGTATTCATGCATGTGAGCAGACACTCGCCAAAATACAAACACACACACAGAGGCCCACCCCCTCTGTAAAGGTTGTCGTGTCAGGACCCCTTGGGTGGTCAGACTGAGGATGATTTCGACACAATATGATGTTGTGAAACAATCCTTTGGAAAAAAAAGGAGATGTTCGGCCGGCTGCTTTTACTGTCACATTTGTATCAAACACATATTGTGCAAGCCTCTTCCCCGGGTTTTAATGCATTTAAAGAGAGTGATGATCTGCGGTTGCTAAAAGCTTTTTTTCTCTCTCCCTTCATTCACAGACACTGCATGAAAACTGTTCTTTTTTTCACCAGAGTGAAAAATACAAGCCATAATGACTCCACAGTGGTTTATTCTAATGGCTAAGCTCTTAATCTATCAGATCAGATTTCAAAGTGCCAGCAGCTTTGCCAAGGCAGGTCCCAGGAAGGAGAACCCTTTTGTTTGGGGCAGAAATTTTAAATGTAAGACCAGACTCTATTTACAAAGACCCCTAATCATTAAAAAAAAGGAAAGAAAGAAAAATGAATAAGATGTGACCCATTACTGAAGCAAAACCTTAAAGAGTAACATCATTAAGAAACAGTAAGTGCCTGTTTTCACATCCACCTTTGCCAGCATGTCAAGACCTCAGGTATGGCAAGATAAATAGCTGTCTTATGTGTGCTTGTGAGAGCCAGGCTCCTTGTGGGGTGGTGCTCCCAGCTTCACGCTCCAGCAGCACTGAAATAAAGCTCTGTTCGAGGCATTTCAACACCGCTTAAGGTTGTCCGTTGCYGTGTAATTTATGAGTTGAGTAGGCTTCGCGTCTAAAGTTAACTACAATCTTCCAGCATTCATGGGTGGAGAAAAGAGCCGGCGTGAGTCATAGGAAACTTACAACACTCCTCCAATTACCTAAAACTGTGGCGATCTGAAGGCTGTCTGCCCGTCGCCGTCAGGTGTGCGGTTCAGTTGCCAAACGTGGAGGTGATGTGACCTAAAGTAATTGGACATGTAGGCACTTTAACAGGTTTGCTGTTCTGTCACCTGCAGGTCACGGCAGAGCGGGCGGGACGGGGTCAGAAGCACTCAGAGAAGCATCCAGAGCTCTCCGTGGGTGGTCATATTAAAACAGGAGGAAAGACAAACACACACAGGACTGGCTGGTAGCCCTTCGCTTGTAATTAGATTGTCATTTCATTTACAATGACAAAAATTAGATTTGAATTTATGGTATTTTTTCTGGTTTTCAGTATGTACACAATTCTTCTTTTTACCAWATAAAACCAAATGAAACAAAATTCAGTTTTGTTTTTTGATTTGTTAAAATTTAATTTTATCATGTCATTATATGAATTAAAAATCAAAGTAAATAAAGAAAAGAAAAACAATAACGAAAAACAATTATTTTATAAATTTTCAGATCAAATATATTTAATTGGTGAGAAAGCAGGAATTTTATTAATCAAAAAATGTTAAAATGTGGCATAAAAATATATATTTTTTGTTTTAAATCTGTAAATGTTCAAATATAATCCAGTGTTTGTTGTGGAGATACAACTAAATAATCATGTTTTATTGCTGAGATATCACAAAAAAGGGAAATTAAACCACACGTTATCACTTTAATCNTGAGGCACCGCACATTTTCACGTCAAGTTTGGATTTTATAAATCACAACCTTGGCGTAAAAAGTGGCGTACGCAAGTTTCTGGGCTCAAATTGTGCGTACGCCAGTTTTATAAATCCGACCCCTGTTATGCTTCCTTCTTTGGCTTTGCCGTTTCAAAATAAAATTGCAAAAAGAAAAAAACAATTATGATTTTTTTTTTGTTTGATTGTTTTTTTGCATTTTTAAAACCAAAATGTAAAATTGAACTAATTAAAAATCCAGTGTTTGATTTGTGCTCCTGCTATCTAAACCCAGACTTAAATAAAGTAGTTGTTTTAATATGGAGCGTTACCGGAAATRATTGAAGTCACCAAATAAGAAGAGTTTATAGTAGCTGGAAGATTTAAAATGTAAACCATTCCTAAAGGTACTGACAGTGGCTGCACCCCAACACTATTCTGCCTATCTGGGAATATTAAAGTGATTGTGTTCTCAGTAAGATCAGCTCTCAATGACACGCGTGATGCTCCAGGAGTTCAAGCCATGATTTCTGGTTCTGTCAGAAGATCACAAATAGTGCACAAAAATATATATAAAATATATATATAGTTTGCTTTGTTTACACAATAACAACATTTAAACCATATTTAAAATGCTAACAATAAATTTTTAAATCATTAAAATAAAAACACTTCTTATAAATAACCAACGAAAAACCAACTAAAATATTTTATATTTAAGGTGAAAAACATATAATATATGATTAAACTGTTTTACTGGCGAATAAACAAATGTCCATAATTGTTTTCCTTTTTTCATAATTACAGATTTAACAAAACATGGAATAAAAAATTGTAAAGCTGTTAATTATTAACACACATAATAAATTTTATCTTATTAACACAACCCCGCTGAACTAAATTATATTAAAGAATAAATATGTGTAAATATACTTGTCTGTACCATAAATATTGATGATTTCTRAGTTAAAAATTAACTCGTGTCAGGTCAGTGCAGCTCTCCAGTTACTGGGTTAACTCAACCGGTGACCAGTTAACGTGACCCAGAGTGGAAGTTATTTATATATTTAGGTGGAATTCAAGAAAAATTACCTTGAAAACTGGTTGATTTGCTTTTAACACTGCCAAGTCACACGTTTTAAAACCTTTCCCAAAAAAATAAGCACATATTTGATTTTCTGAATAAAATGAAATCAAACATTCTAAAAAAAAGACCTAAAATATTCTAGTGTATTTGTGACAGGTTTACGGTGTTTAYTGAAAATGTTTTAAAATGACACCAAACATTTTATTCTGAAGCGTTTCCTTCTCATTATTTAAATTTTATTCATCACAGTCAGACGTTCACATTACCTCTCTGCCAGAGTGTGATTGTCGACACCCTGTAAACACCTTTGACACACAGGCTTGAATGCGACAGGCGAGTTAACCAAACATTCCTGGGTGTTCCTTTTAAAAGTTTACCACCGGGCTGCACTGACCCATCTCCCACTCCCCAAATCCCACCTAAAGCAAACCTCTTTTCTCCTCCTTCGTTTTTTTCAATTTAGACTCATATTCTAACACATTCACGTCAATGACAGAATGTAATATGTAGCAACTTTCATGTTTTGCTCTGTGAACGTGTTTTTAAAACAGAACAGAACATCGCTCCATAAGGTTTTGGGAATTTGGGAGTATAATTCCAGCCCTGAGCTTATCTGCACWCCCAGACTATTTGAGTGTTTTGAGATGCAGGCTCCCCGAGGAYGGATCGAAGGCGTCCTAGTAGAACTGCACATCAAATAAATAGGAGGATGGGATTTATATGGACGCTGTGTCTCTGTCAAACAGGGCTCTGCTGACTGAAGTGATCCCCACGGCCCGAAGTGGAGGAGAGGAGGGAGAGGAAGCCTCGGAGGGAAGAAGGATAGCTTTGGAGGAGCCACACACACTCACACATAAAAAAAAAAAAAAACTCACACAATGTCCCTCTCAGTCCTGGGTTGTGACCGGCCCATGGCATTGCCCAGGTATGTCAACTATGTTTGCCAAGCCATCCATCAGCCGTCCTCCGTCTCTCCTGAAACAGGAACTTTTGTTTGAAACATGCACTTGTTAAGCCCATCCTTTGACTCTGCTGAACTGAAATCATTTCCTCATAGGTGCGACAAAAGATTTATTATAGCCTCAACGTTTTGCTTGTTTGTTTGCTTTCATTATTTTTCCTTTTTTTATTTATTTCTTCATTCCTAATGTTCTGTTAGAAACACCGAGTACAGGTTAGGGGACATCCAAGGCCCTTATCGCTCATGACCAGGGTTAGCAAATAAAAACACTGTGGAGAGGTCGAGCTGCATGGAAGCAAGGGAAAGATTTATGGCTGTGTGACGCTCACACATGGCAAAGACTTTTTTTTTTTTGGTCAGGCCCGAACTTCAAGTTGAAACAAATTGAAAAAAAAAAAAAAATTAGGGCAGGTTGTCAGAAGGTGTCAGAATCAACTGAAAAAGAGGCCAAAGCACGGGCCGGTATGTTTGCTAAAACATCTAAGTCGGAGCCCTTACCTCATTCCCTGAAACACAACCTGCCATTTATCTTTTGACTTCTCCTCGGCGAGCGAGAGCAGATATCACTAAAAGTGCCACGTTAATGATTGACTCTCGGCCCACCGAGCATCCTGGTTTGAGTGGCCACTCTGCCTGCACTTGTTCTGCATTTTCAGCCGTAAATGTTTGTGGTCCCACTATCCTCTTCAAGTCCCATACAGTATTATTAGCACTGAGTGGGGCGTGGGGGGGGTAAGGTTAGGGTGGGGTCGAGACTAACTTTCAATAAAGCATCATGGGCATGCTGAGGTAAATGGAAGATAAGAGTTTGTCCGCGACCCTTTTAGTGCTTCATATGTATGTGGCTGAGCAAACCTAATCTCCCTTCCAGATAGATTTGGCTCTGCTTTGTGGAAGC